GTCGCTACCTTATCTTCTCTTCGACTGCTGGGTCGCTTGGCGTGCCTGGGCTTGGCCCGTATTGTGCCACCAAGTACGCTGTTGAGGGTCTCATAGAGTCCATGCTTTATGAGGTTGACGTCTTCAATATCAAAGCAACACTAGTTGAGCCTGGTCATGTTCGACTGGACGAGCCGGATGACAACGTATTGCCCCCTAGCTACACTTCGGCGTCCAATCCAGGAACAGGACCCCCGAAGCCCAAGCGGTACGGCCACTTTTTTGTGAAACCGAATCCAAGCGAGCCGTACGCTGGATTAACAAGTCCGGCGCAACATGCGCGACGCATGGTGCAATGGCTGAATGACCGCCAGCCCGTGAGCGCTGTCAAGAGTGCCGAACTGGTCTGGCAACTTGGCCATTGTAGCTATCCTCCGCTTCGCTTGATTCTCGGGAGTTATGCTGTAGAAAGCATCCGTGACCGTCTGAAAAGTATTACTGAAGAGGTATGTAGAGGATACAGATTCTACAAGCATCGTCTAATTCTTGCTAGATCGAGGATTGGAAGCATCTTTCCTTTGCCGTCACCATGCCTCCGGAGGATGAGGACAGGAGAGAAGAGATCAAGGATGAGCAGGAGCAGGATGGAGATCAAGATCAGGATTGATGTGTTGAGGAAATTATCGACATCCCAATCTTTCCAGCGAACGTGATCCTCGTATTAATTAATCAATCATTGCTCTCAGGAATTTAGCGCTTTTCTGCTTCCCAGAACGTGTCAGAGTCATTCACCTCTAGCAAGTTGCTGAAATATCACCACGGGCTAGGCGTAGGAATACTAATGGCACAAGTTCGAGTTTGCTCGGTTTTTGGTTCGGCAATGGGACAACCGGGAAATTATTGTCACGTTGGCTAGATTGTGTGTTCTGACAAAGAATAGAGTCTGAAGGAATATTGACCACAGAAGCGCACTTCTTATCTGATTGCTCTCATGCAAGGATAGTTGGTATTTTTGGCCAGTAACTTTGCTAGGTATCGAGTACTCTGCCGCCCGCTCTGCTTTTAATAGGGCCTATTAGGGGACATGGATTGCATCTGGAGCAAAAGAAACCCAATCGGAAGGGAAACGAGAAAAGGACGATCATGATAGCAACGCGTGAAGAGGTCGTGCCAAGCCCGCATATTCTTGCGTCTATGTAGATACCGTCCAATAACCCTCAAATACTCGATCCGGCTATATCGCTCCACCCGTTGATCTGTAAGCCATGATGACCTGATTCGATTACTATCCACAACTTCTGTCCCCTGTTGCGCCAGGAATCCAGTAGGTATTCCGTGCCGTAGTCGGCGGTTCTGCGCGAATTCCACATTCTGGGTCCAATGCGGAATTTCTTCCGCTAATTCTCACGTACCGCTAGCGCACGCCTTGTTCCGCGATAGTAGTCCCGTAAATGGAGAAGAGAGCTAGCAAGGTGGATATTTCCGAGTACAGGGAACGATTAAGATAACGGCTCTATCTGCCTAGACGTCGACATGCCGTACAGGCGTCTATATTGCTGTTTCTATTGATCATTGCACTAGGCCCGTAATGGAATGTCCATGCGAGCTTCCGTCCCAAGACACATTCTACGATGGCGGTACCCTAGAGACAAGGCGGTTTGAAGCCTATCGCGACGTTCGTATCATGTGTAGACCCCACCTTGTTACGGCATCAAGATGCGGAATCGCACCCATGGAGACGTTCTAGCTATGGTATGATAAAAGGTAACGTGTCCCACCAGAGTTGACTGTCTCACTTCCCTCATCTACCTTACTTCTCCTTAAACATCTCCTCCTACTCTTGAAGTGGACGGTACACCTCCTTCACTTGACCTCGCCACACATACATTATCAAACATGGCACCCCACCCCTTCAAGATCCTCAACGTAGAGGAAACACGCATCGCGCGTGACACAGTCCTCTCCCTACACAAAGACGTCGTCGTCGACTTTCGAGAAATTTATCTGCAAGAGCCAAGCAAGGAGTTGATGAAGCAATACCTCGACCTCGAACATGCCGCCAAGCCAGGCCAATCCCCAGCCTCCCAGCGACCACCGCGCCTGGCAAAGTGCCAGTATGACGTTGTTGGCTCCGACAAGATCCCAGAATACCACGAGTCGGTCATTGACATTGAGCAACGGAAGAGAGTCCGCCATGAGATTGTGGGAAAGGAGAAGCAGGCTAGTTTGACACTGTGGGAGTTTCAGCATCTGGTGAAAGCGTGCGATGAGAGCGAGATGTTTCAAGAGGCGATCAAGGAGTTTAAGCTACCAGAGGGATTCGAGCTGGTTGTTGAGCCATGGTAAGCTTTCATTCCTTTCGAAAGACCCCTTCTGTCCGGCATACTAACGAGGCTAGGCCTTACGGCGGCCTTGAAATTGGAGCTGAGAACAGGCGATACTTCCAAGGTCTCTGCTTCGCCCAAGACACTCGGAACGGAAATGCAGACTCCAACTTTTACGCTTACCCATTGCCGCTGATCCCTGTCATGGACGCCCATACGAGGAAGATTGTTCGCATCGATCGCCTAGCGACTGGTGGAAAGGGCGACAGCCTAACGGGCAAAACGCATTCCGAACGCGTGCTCGATCACTGCGAGGGAGCAGAATATGTTCCTGAATTAGTGGCGGGTGGCTTGCGACAGGACGTCAAGCCAATCAACATTACACAGCCCGAAGGTCCTTCGTTCAAGGTCACGGACGAGTCGCTGGTTGAGTGGCAGAAGTGGAGTTTCCGCGTATCCTTCAACCCGCGTGAAGGAGCTGTTTTGCATGATGTCCATTACGATGGAAGAAGCATCATGTACCGGATGAGCATCAGCGAGATGTCGGTACCATATGCGGATGCGCGTCCACCATTCCACCGCAAGCAGGCCTTTGACTTTGGCGATGGCGGTGCCGGAAACTGTGCCAACAATCTCTCTCTTGGTTGCGATTGCCTGGGCGTGATCAAGTACTTTGACGCTGTCATTGTTGGCTCGGACGGCGAGCCAAAGGTCCATCCTAACGTCGTCTGCCTACACGAGCAGGACAACGGGATTGGCTGGAAGCACAGTGAGTATTATATCGAGACCATCTTTAGAAGAGCAACAGTTTCAGCTAACACTTCCCAGCCAACTGGCGAACCGGCCGTGCAGTCGTAACCCGCATGCGCGAACTCGTCATCCAGTTCATCATCACACTCGCCAACTACGAATACGTCTTCGCGTACAAGCTCGACACCGCCGGTGGCATCACCCTCGAAGTGCGTGCCACCGGCATCGTGTCCGTAGTGAACATCGACGCAGGCAAGACATCCGACTACGGCAATGTAGTCTCCAACGGCGTGCTAGCCCAAAACCACCAACACATCTTCGCAGCGCGTAGGTCCCTCTTTCTTTCTCCCACAAAATAGCCCTCGTCAGTTGTAAAGACGGCCCATCTAACCACACAATGATTGAATAGGCATGGACCCCGCAATCGACGGCCACAAAAACACTGTCTCCTACGAAGAATCCCACAGCGCGCCCCTCTCCCCCGCCACAAACCCCAACGGCAACTTTTACGAAATCCGCAAAACAGTCCTCACCCACTCCACCGGCGTCGATGCAAACCCCACCGACCACCGTGTCTTCAAAATCAGCAACCCGAGCAAGAAGAACCCAAAATCAGGGAACAACGTTGCATATAAATTCTCGCCCTTGCCGACGCAGAAGATTCTCGCCCACCCGGACAGTATTCAGGCGCAAAGGGCGCTGTTTACACAGCATCATGTTTGGGTTACGAAATATCACGATGATGAGCTGTATGCTGCGGGACGATTTACGCTGCAGAGTCAGAAGGAAGAGGGTGGTGTGTTTGACATGGCAGCACGCAAGGAAGAGGTTGAGGGCGAGGATTTGGTGGTTTGGAATGTTTTTGGCTTGACGCACAACCCGCGGTATGTCTCCTCCTGCACCCATATTCGCACTTTTTCCTTTCTCTGCTTTATATTTGACGTGATTGCTGACATGATGGAATGTGCAGAGTCGAAGACTGGCCCGTCATGCCCGTGGAAATCTACCAGGTCCACTTCAAACCCAGTGATTTCTTCGACAGGAATCCGGCCATTGATGTGCCCAACACCAAGAACAACGCATCTGTTCTCGTTGAGAGTTCGAGCAAAGACTGTTGCTCTGGTGAGGGAAAGCTTTAGAAACCGAGGCCGATGTAAGAAGGAAGGGCATGGTGTGTTGAGACAAAGATTTAGAGTCAGCCTGTGGGCTATGAGCGCCTTTTTATACATCTCCTTATTTATGTTATTATTCTGAATCGTTGGTGGTGTTTACCAGTTGATTGCCCAATTCCAATCGTGAAATCGCATTCCCACATTTCCGCATGTGAAAAGAAAAACACCCCTTTTCTCTTCTTCATCCCGTGAGAACCACGACAATATCACATTCCTCTCTTCTGCTTTCATCTTTCATCACCACAATCATAGCAGCTTGCACCCTGGTCGCAAGCGAGAGAGACATTTGGTCCGCCAATGTACTAGAAGCCCCCGTTTGCCCGCTACGAGTTAGGCAAGCAAAGCATTCTGCCCACTGGATCGCCTGTTCGAGCGAGCAGACATGGCGTCCACGAGCGCGCTCTAATATTACTCCGTGCCATCCCCTGTCTACGCGCTATCATTGGTTTCCGCTGCGACGTCTACAATTCGCGTCGCAGAGCTGGACACTCGGTGTTTGTACCAAGACACCAGCAGTCGGAGGAAAGAAAGAAAAAACACCCGCACATGTACCTTTCTAGTACTTACCCCCGACCTTAGTGGGCCGTCGTCGCTTCCACACGTCGCTTACAGACTCATGTGTTGAACCCCACCCCCCACCCTTCCGCCCCCACTACCATTCAAACTTTTCTCATCGCGCCGCGGTTTCTGCAACACTGCATCTCCCGGAAGCGCCTCAATTTGGACAACATAGTTGGTGTTAAACAGCCTTCTTCCATCAAATCAGCAATAACTTGGTCGCTTAGCTCAGTTGGTTAGAGCGTGGTGCTAATAAGTCATCTGGTGTTCAAACATCACTTGACAGTATACGCCAAGGTCGCGAGTTCGACCCTCGTAGTGACCACAAAGTCCTTTCTTTTTTGCTTCTCTTTTTGCTTCAAATGCGTTCCTTGAGAGGAATTGTCAGGGTTGTCTGCCCCCGACATTTTTTTGGGAGGGGGGTGGGGATCGTGTGCTGAATCATGCCGAGGCGGAGGGGCAGTCAGCAGGCACACACACGAGATAATAGACTCGTTGAATGCGGAGGCTTGATTCTTTTCCAAGTAAATGTCTATAATGTACAGATTGGACAACATCGAGTGCGACTTTTAACCAAAACAGCCTGTAAGCATATCCACAACGTCGGTAGCGTCGAATAAATAGCCAAAAAAAATCTAAAGCGCACATTCAAATCATACAAGTCAGTGAAATTAATAGTACACATACATGGCAATCTAAAACGCTTCACCCGCAAGATCCTCGGCAAGGCCCTCCAACTCGTCCTGGCGAAAAGGCACCCACAGCCTCTCTGTGCCCATGCCATCCTTCCTACTCTCAATCATCTGATGATCGTGAAACTCCTTCAGCAGGGTGCGGAAACTGACTTCGCTGGTGCATACAAACGCCTCGACAGCTTTGTGATACAGAACGCGGTATTCGACACCTTGGTTGGACTCTGGAAGAGCAGGTTTAGAATGCGCAAGTTTCTTGTTTTGGGGAGTGGCGGGGACGTCGTCGTCTTCGTCGATGCCGCCACCACCACCACCACCACCGCCCTCCATGAGGGATAGGGCCAGCTGCTCCATGACGAGGATGCGGAAGAGCTCTCGGGCTTGTTCGGGTAGCGAGCGCAATACGAAGCCTACGCCGTCTCGGCCGCCAACTCGTCTGCCGCTGCGGCCAAGGAGCTCATTGACTGTCTCGACCGTGTCTATTTCCGCGTCGTAGGAGGCAAAGGTGGTGGCGTCGTGGAACAGGAACTTGTATTGCGTCTTCAGGCCGACATCCCATAGTAGAGGGAAGTTTGGTGTATCTGCCGTGCATACGAGGTTGATCGAGGGATGGGTGGCTAGCCGGGCGAGCATGGACGGCATTGGCGTTTTTCGGAGGTAGGGCGAATCGATCGAGTTCAAAACGACGGGTACTGGATGTGGGGGTGGGTTGGTGGTGAGGTGCTCCAGCACAAATTCGAGTAATAGCGCGGGCTGGTTGGGCAGCTTCAGGCCCCCTGGTACAACGGCCGATGCGATTGTTACCAAGACATCCTTTATTGTGGTACCAGCGGTATAGCCATTGATGACGACAATCTTGGGTGTCTTTTTGGTCCCTTTGTACGGCGCTTGATCGAGGAGATGATGGTAGAGATGCGATGTAAATTTTTCGGTAATGACACGCTTCGAGCCGTAGCCGTAGAGGCAGATGTTGAAGCCTTCTTCGAGCTCGAATATCCATTGATCGTATGCACGGCCATGCAGCCCGGACAGAAAGTCTATTTCCGGTTGGTGACGATCGTGGTATGATTGTATCGCTTGAAAGTATTCGTCGTGATTGAGGAGGCTCTGTGCGGAAAGGGTGTTGTTGGAGGTTTTGGTGCCTGCAGGGCGGTTCTGCCAAAAGTACTCCTCATGCGCAGGAAGCTCGGTAGGAGGGGTCGGTGAGCGTTGCTTCCGCGGTCGGCCTACTTTTCCTGATCCCTTTGGCCGACCTCTTCCACGCTTCGAGGGAGTCTCAGGTACTGGGGCGTCGTCAGGGGGTGCTTCCTCAGCAGGCTGCTCTGCCTGCTCGACCTGGTCTTCCAGAATCTGTTCGGCGAGTTCATCTTCTTCATCCAGGGCCTCTTCATCACTTTCTATACCATTCCACGTGCGCTCCAGTATGCGCCTGTTACTCTTCCTGCGTGCGCTCCGATCGGCATTGCGGACAAGGGTAGGAGTGCCCTCTGGAGATTCGCGTTTAGCTGATTTGGTGGGAGTTTCGAAGACCAGCTTCCTCGTCGACTTTGGGGTAGCGGCGATTCCGTTTGCGAGACCGGTTTTCTTCAGAATGGATCGTGGCGTGCCATGCTCGGCCAGATATGTTCTCCCCTTTCTCGACGGCGTCTGCGCTTCGAAGGGTTCCTGTTCATCGGGAGCATCGTCTGCTATGCGTGCGCGCAGTTTCTGCGGAGTCCCCTCATCGTTCTCGTCGTCGTCATGTCTTCGCTTGGTGCCGACCATGTCTCGGGTGTGATGGATTGTTGAGGGATGGGTTGACGCGACTTACGCGACGATGGGCTTGGCGCAATGGCGGAGGCTCAAACGCTTGTCCATGTACGCGGGGCCCCCAGGGGATGGTGCCCACACGAGACTATTATTGGTGGCCATCTGACTGGTTTTACCTTTGACCTGGTAGCGATAGACTATGCAGTGTTTGGCATATGTGCGGAATGGTGCAGGCTGACGTTGTACTAGTAAGCTGGAAAGGCTGCAGAGCATCACGACAGACTAATGGCTGACATGTGATGCTCTGCCTGCACCCAACTTGCCGCAAGCAGCCATGTATTCATCATCCGACAACTATGCCCTAGTCTGGGTGAAAAAGCGAAAAATGCAGGCCATGTAAACTGTTGGTCCAGGCTGCATGCAAGACGGCCAACACGACAACGTCCCACATCTAGACCTCTGGATGCACGATGGTGTCAATCGTCAGCCTTACCACGCAGACGCAGACTAGCGCTGCACATAATATGGGATGGATGGTGGCGGGCCGTCGGTAAGCGGATACCTGGATACCTGGATACCTGGATACCTGCTGCCTCCGCACGCTACAGTCACGCTGCGGTGGCCTGTCCGGCACGAGTGCGCGGTGATTCAGCCTGGCAGGCAGATGACGGTTTCATGTGCGTTCTTGGGGAAGATGTCTCATCGGGTGTCGCGTCACGCAGAGGCTGAGACAGAGGTACAAATAGCTGCAGGGCGCCCGGGGGGGTATGCATCAAGCAAAGGCTGATAGGCGGCAAACAAGCGAAGGCTATGGCTAGCCGGGATAGTGCTTCTTTGATGATCTCACCCATGGCGGCCGCTCCTTCTCAATTTCCGTCGTCGTGTTCGTCCGCGACTGCCCCGCACAAGCCCAAATCTTCAGCTTCACACCGGTTCCAGACTCGACACTTTTACACACGCCCCGCCCGCGACGACAACGACTCCCACTTTGCGACTCCGTCTGCAGCGCCCTCGCCCACCCGCAGCCGCTCTGCCGCGACACGCCCGCCTCCCAACGCCGCGCGGCGCACTCCCGGCCTCCCCGTGCACTCCTTGGGCACCATGGAACCCAGACGGCGGCCAGAGTACAACCTCGACATCTTTGCCGATGCCGCCTGTGTAAAGGACGTGGTGAAGGGTGAGCTCTTTCCTCCCTGCTCCCGTTGCAACTCCTTGTTTTAGCCCCGGCGCAACTTCCCACCCCACTACCCGCTCCCCACCCGGACATGCCCGTGAAGCAGTGTTGACGTCCGGAACAGCCATTCTCCACACCATCTTCTTCCACCGGTACTTCACCTCGATATCGCCGCTGACCCGCGATCTTCTCGATCTCACGCTCCCCGCCATCGACGATGTCGACCTCGAGACGCTCATCGAGCAAAAGACGTTTGCGCTAGTACGCGCCATCGACAGTACACACCAGCCGCGAGGAAGGGGGCAGATTGTCGTGCAGTTCTTTGAGAAGAAGCGGAGAAAGACGTACTTTTTCGGCAAGGCAGACGAGGATGTCTGCTGGGAGCAGTGGACGCTGGACGTGACCCTCGCCCAGCCACGCACCGAGACTGGTATGCCGCCACCTGGCCCATCCATCCCCTGCCGCACAAGTCACTAATTCCATCCAGACGTGCTCAAGGTCCGCCGCGCCATGACCAAGTCTCTGGAAAAGGCTGCGCACAAGATCATCGCCATTGTCAACCGAGAGAAAGACCACATCCCTCCCATTACCACCACCGACGCCAACCCCTTTCCCTACCAGATTGTCGTCAACCCCAAGTCTGCCGACAACGACTGGCGGCCACGCATCGGTCTTTTCTAGAGCCCCCCATCCTCTCAATCGACGCAACTGTATATACCGCTTTGCACGACATTATGAGTGAGAGGAAGTTCAACACGACTAGGAAGTAATATCTGTCGCTTCATGCGACCCAAAAGAGACGGAAAAGTTCTTCATCCACCTCCCCGCCTACTTGTTAGACCGACCGAGGCGTTTTGCGAACCCCTCTACCCCTGTTCATCGCAGCCACCACCGCCACCACCACCACTACCAAAAGCTCCGCTGTACAGTGTCCGCCATGTCGGCCAATCCCCCCCCCCCCCCCCTTCCTGAATTATTTCTGGGCCCGCGGATATCGGGAAGTCGCAGAGAACCTGAGCGTTTTCCTTTTGATTGATTGATTGCTGTTATAGCTACACAAGATACCCCATTGCCCAATGAACTTATTATACATGAAGGGAGGTGTTTGGTGATATTGATTGAACGTTTCAACAACATCATCTTGCTAGTCATCTACATTATGACTCAAAACTTGCATAACAGGTGGTATATGAATATCAAGCAGCCAAAAAGTCCAACAACCATCATCTTACGTCCCACACTAGCCTCACTCATTCCTCCTCTCCGCCCACTCAACCCACCGCTTGACAACCTCATCCACCTTCTTCACCCCCTCCTTGGTCGCCTCAACCTCAAACCACTCCTTATGGCTCTTCCCACACGCTTCACACTGCTTAATCACCCGCTGCTCCCCCAACTCGAGATGGATCAAGCGCTCCACCCGATGCGCATGCGGTACCTTGCGCACCGCGTCGGCACCGTGTCGGTACGATGGTTGGCGGGAATTTGCTGGTGACGGTGACGGAGAAGGTGTTGATGAAGAGGAGACGTACGGATAGTACCGTACGAGAGAGAGACTGTATCCGCATTGTCGCGTCCACTCGTTCATGCGGCGGTGCACGTTATTCGCTCGTCCGATTTTCAGTAGAATTGTGCTCTTCTCCTTTTCCTCGCCCCCGTCATGTCCCGCCTGTTTTCCTCCTCCGCCTCTAACGCTGTACTGCCTCATCAC